TAGATACTTTTGGAGTTAATTACACGGGCTAGAATAGCAGAAAACGCATTTGCGGTGGTTAGATTTTCAAAATTTTCCCGGGGAGGGTGCGGCCCCGAGGTTGAGGCCCCCATACCCCACGACGATTGATTGGCTGTTTGGAATTCGGGTCAGCCAGGTAGGCTATATTGGACCAAATTGAAGTTGCTGTATTCACAGACTGGAATAGCAGGAAAACGCGTATGCGGCTGTTAAATTTTCAAAATTTTCTCCAAACGGTCCCGTCTCCGTGGACTGTAAACGATTGATCTTTTGTTTGGAATTCGAGTCAGCCATCTTAATTAGGCTATATTAGACCACTTTGAAGTTGCTTTGTTCGCGGGCTGAAAGAGCAGGAAACTATGTTTGCAGCCATCAAATATTTAAAAAATTTCTTGGGGGGGGGGGGGAGCGGGGGGTACAATACAAGGGGTGTCTGAGTTTGCCGTTTGTGTCGCTAAAACAATGTGGTACGAAACCAAATGGTTATCGTGTCTTGGGGCATGCAGCATCTGTAAAGTTATGGACACGCAATTTGAATTTGCAGTAATGCTCGTTAGACACGACACATTATTCCGTGAACAATGTCTGTTACAACGAAGGGGGCTACAGGTTTGATATGGATTTTAGACGATACCTTATTACAGGAACAGTCACACTGATTCAAACCCGGGAGATTCTACACGGGAGTCCAATAAACCCCCAATAAGTTACCGACGAAAGGTCTGTTAATAATGAAATCGGCAAACAAACGATTAAAACATCCTCTGACTTGACAATTTATTATTTAAGTACAATTTTTACATTTTCACAAAACAATAATGAAGACTGATATAAGAGTCAGTAATTTGTACAGTAGGCCATGACCAATACTTGCATTATACATAATAACTAAATATATACAAGAATTTATATAATGCATCACTGGGAATTCGATATTGTTCATTGTTTTACAAAATCCTAACAATCAAACAGAATAGCGGTGAATGACTGACTTAAAGGGGAATTCCCTGTTTTCACTGTGTAGCCTACAAAAGCGTTGGTTTAACTAGTAATCCAAAGACAGAAAATATGAGGAAATAATCTACCTTGTCTGGAAGTTCAAATCAAAATGTGAGCTCGGAACTTAGAAAGGGAACTCTGAGGTCTTTTCACACTGAATTAATCAGTTTTATTAACATAATTGTATCTGGGATATTACCTTTAAATCTTCTAAATAATGCTCAATGTCTACAGAAAGTTCTTACAAATGAAAGAGCGGTGTTAGAACTAGTATCTAAACTTAATATAGCGGGCACTATGTTTAATATGCAGCACTGCTGACACCCCCCCCCCCATATATATATATATATAAACTAATGTTTGTATAGGAACTACGTTTTGAGATTAAAAATTAATATATTAGAAAGACGTAGCCTTGTTTTTTTATAGAATAAATGACTCATTGCTTTTTGTTAAATAATGAACAAGTTTGAATTTACAGTGATATAATATTAAATAAGTCAGCGATAACAGAAAGTATACATTAAACCAAATACAGATTTTTAAAATTACAGCTTTTATTGTTTATTATATTCTCATATAAATCGTCTTTTGTTTGAAAAACTACAAGGATAAAATAGTCAGATAGTGTTGTTAGCATTCGCAATGAAACACAACCATTATATTAAAGCGAGGGTGTCTTCGTGGAGGGAGGGAGGGGGGGGCTTTTAGTCATCTATCTGTGACAACATTTTATAGAACATTCCACAGATGGATTTCCTTGATTAACAAGAATTATACGTTTTTGCGAATATAATTAAAGCTATTTTTTTTCATATGAATTTCCCTTTTAATGAAGACAGGTTTAGAAAGATATTTATAGACTGATTAAAACTATATTATTTGACAAAGCTCGCATAAAAGTACGTACGCATAAATTCTATAGATTAGTCTAATAATTCAACAATAAAAATACCCGTACATAACAATACTAAATGAACACTAACTAAAACAAACAGAGAGAACACTCAAAATAAAAACAGAATCAAGAGTATTGTAGAATAGATGATTGCCAAGGTAGCGTTAACAACCATTGTGCGAGTAGATAAGGTGGGGGGGGGGGGCTTAACACATCATCAGGTATTTTATGATGGTTTAATTTCATGACAGTTAGAATTCGATATAGATCAGGGGCCTGTTTCACGAAATTTTAACTAAGTTAAAATCCAAATTTAGTAATTTGATTGGATAATATTAGATTGATTTTAGTGCTTAGTCAATCAAAATCGAAGTATCTACTAATATTTGGATTTTATCTTTAGTTAAAATTTTGTGAAACAGGGCCCAGGCCGTAGCGCCGCTGTCCGGGCAAAATTTCCCTAGTAGCACACTGCATGGCACATTAGATCAGTCGGTGCAGAAGAAAAGGTAGGACGCTAAACCCTATTTTATTTCTTTAATTGCATTGCTCTTAAGGAAATAATGATACTATTATTCACCAATATTGTAGTTGATATTATCGAGTCTTTAGTCAATTCAATGACCGCGGGCTATCTTCAATAATCATTTAATTTTTTATATTAAACAATGAAATCGTGTAACACGCGACTCAGTTGAACTGGTACAGCTTCTTTGCTTTGTCATTTAAGATCAATTGTGTTTTATTAGTATACTAAGTAATATTTTCACGGACAAAGAAAACTTCGAGCTTTAAGTATGTTATTGCTCTTTTTAAATTTTAATTCGAACAAATATTTGCATAAAATATATGCAAAGGAACATAACGAAAACATAGATACAGAATTCAACTTTGGAAATAAAATACGTTCTATTTTAATCAAGAAACGCAAGAAATAAAAGTGTCTTAAATATACATTATGTAATATTTAGATAAAGAGCTGGCCGTACTTGCTATAATAGTTCTAAAAGGCGAAAAAAATATATTGCAAATTTCATTCAAAACACTTCATTCTGAGCAAGGTTAGCACGGTTTGAAGTTATGACAAGAAGTAGCATAGATTGTTATCGTAACAACGGTACTTGTTATTCGGGACTTAGCCTCGTATCGCCATTATTAAATAAATAATTAAATAGCGTACGGGTTTTAAACCGTTTAAACCTCCGCCGTCCGATGATCTAGACGGTTGATTGTAGGATTGTCATGTGAATAAATGTCTAAATAATAGTTCATATAACTTTTGAAACCAAAATTTAGACATGTAATAGGCAGATTTAGCGCTTACATAAAGCATCTTTAATTTTAAGCAAAGTTCAAGATGGGTCGTCTTGAAAGAATACAATTCACACATTTTAGCTTCAATGTCTGTACGATTTTGCGGTTTCCCAAACAACACTCTAGTAAAATGTAAGATGTTCTAAGCTTTATTTACAACAATCTCTTCAAACTGATATTAAACCCGAGAAGCAGGCATTTCCTTGACGAACAAACAATTTAATAATAGAATCACTTGACATAATAATGTTCGGGAAATGTCTTTCATTCAAGAAGTATGTAAACTTCTATAGTTTTATAATATGTTACCACTTCCGAACTACTAGTAAAGGAAGAGACTCTACAAAGAAGATATGTATGTTCTAGAAACTTCGCGTGTCAACAAACTGTAACAGTTCATATCTTAAAGAAAAACTCGTCTCGCGTTTTATAACGGTAAATGTTAAAACTGCTTTCGTATTGCATGTTTTTTTACAAGTTCTACAGTAATTGCAGAGAAACATTTACAGAGTTAATAAACCGAGATCTGAAGACTGGCAGTTTAAAAATAATCTATTTCTATCATATCAAACATATGTTGGTGAAAAAATAACATATCAAAAAGCTGTTACTTGTTAACACTTGGAATCTGAATTTAACAAAACTACAAATAACAAGTTGACAAATGTTAACGGGTTTTATTTGCTACATTCGACATAAAAACATGCATTCCTTCATTAAGATGCATTTAGAGCAAGAAACATTATTTAAAATTGTATTGTTTACACATGTTGGTACTTATGGAAACCTTTTACATGTACTTCAGCTAGGATATGGAGACTTCATATGACTTAATTAATGGGGATACACGTTAAAATGAGAGTCAAAATTATCATTCGTCTTAAGGGTTGGATAGTTCACACCTGTCCACGTAAACTCTGGTGGACATGGGCCTTTAGCAGCGAGTTCTGATTTTCATGAACACGAGACATTTCTACATCCATGCACTTGGTAACCTTGTATCCTAAATCATTCTGATTAAAACTACTCTTCGTCTGAATAAAAAAAAAAGCAATAAGTGTGTCTGCTCATCGTAGTCAAAACATTTAAAATATTATAATTCAATATAAATATTTCTGTAACACTTTGTATTTAACGTAATAAAATGTGATAATGAATACGTGTAGTACTTGAATTACCTCATATCAAGGCTAATTAGAAAATATGTTACAAACCTTATTGAATCAAATTTTAAGAATAGAGTATAGACGAAGTGTCTCGTTAAACCACATCATTAACTTCACTAAAGCCCTACCTTTCTGCAACAACCGCGCTAATGCAGGTGGCTATGTAGTTTTGGTAAAAGTCATTAATATGATTCTAAATCGACGGGTAATACCAAGTCTACACAGATGACGTAACAAATTCGAATATGTATTAAACAATTGTGTTTCAAACCTGTACTATCAATAAAAATTTAAACTTAATGATCCGTTCTTCACTGACCTGTAATACAATCAAAACTACTGGAAGCTTGTACACCGCCACTGTTTCAGAAATAAGAGTCTGTTTCGCTTTAGAACCATAAATATTTTGCATTTGACAATAAACTTCTAAAGTTAGCAATTGTGCCTATCAAATTCTTAAAAATAACTGTTTCCCGTTTTATGCAGACTGTGCATATGTATATCTTTAATTCATTTGAGGAAGTAATGGATGCGGAACAAGAAATATAATTAAACAAAATAACAGAAATTGTAATCAAAGAAATGTAATTAAATGTCATTAAAATTACATTATATAACAAATAACAATTACAGCAAATAGTTTATTTATACATTATATATATACAAAACAATCGAGAATAAATAATCAAAAATAAAAGATTAAAAAAAAGACGATCAAAATTATTGTGATCTACGATTTGGTGTAGACTACGACACCACTTTGTGTGATTTACGTCATACTTCCACTTAACACATCTATTACCCGTTGAATGTATCATTAGTTCACTTGTGCAATATAATATTGCGCTGTCAACACAATCCTGCAACACTGCCTTCGGCTATTAGCACACACACTGACAGAATACAGGAACAGTGATACTGTTTTGCCAGGTCCTTTAGATCGTGGGACTCAATAATTGATATACGAAGCCATGTTCAAGCAGCTAAGAAGAAAATGTTATATGAAGTCTTCTAGAACGTCTCCCGTAGAGTAATTAGCTGATTTAGCGAAACTTGACAGCTTGCTTTATTGAAAATAACATTGTCTCGTTTTAATACACTATTATGCCAGAATCAATAGCTGATGTCCACAATTTATTTTTGTTTATTTTGTGGTAGAAAAAAAGACTTGAAGCTATTTGTCTGGTACATGCACAACGAAATATAAACATATTATGGTTCATTCATCAAAGATATTATTAGCTAAGTCATAAAAAGAAAATACATGAAATAATAAATGCATCATTTTTTTGTGATCAACTGCCATGTATAACCCAGTTTACTGTTTCTTCCACTATTGGGTCCCTTTTGGCTGTGGCATAAAAATCATCATCGTCATACAGCACCGATCCATCATGTACTTCGTGTTATTACTGAACCCACTGAACAAAAAGACGTTGTTTAGCGTCGATGATGTTAAAGATGAGAACTATAGGATTGTCTACTTGATGATCGTTGGTTGAATATAAAGCATCCCACTCTATCCCTAAAGGCATAATAGCCGTGGAAAATAGAATACCAAACTCTCTTACATTGCACATTAAAACGTCAATTATGTTGAGTTTTAAAGCTATGATCCAAGCTATTGTCTCCAGCTATTCTTCTAGAAAGTCAATATGATGGCTCGCTTTTCTGGTATTGTTCATTCTGTTCAGCAGAAAAACTCATAGATTGTATTCCCATTTTAAACTTTTTGCCATTTATTTACTTTTATTTTCCATTTACGTACACAACTCTGGACTATTAAATTCAGTTTTGGTCGTCATTATTTTTTTTTATCTACATATTAAAAACGGCTTCTGAGCGGTCGAGTTTGTTATTTAGCACTTAGCGTCTCTTGGCATTCAAACAACTACTAAATTGAATTCCATCATCGTAGCACACTATTGGATTTGAATATCAAATTGAATATAGAATTTCATATTGATAATACGCCTTTGAAAATATGATATGATAGCTAACATTTCAGACCGATTTCCATAAAGGCCATATTGGATTTGTCGTTAATGACAGCTATTGCCTGCTACATAATATTGTATTTGTACATTAAAGTACTCAAAATGTAATTTTACGTGTCCAATTTCTTAAAATCCGCCATATTGAATTGAAGCGATTGCTTCGGAAGAATCGGATAATGGAGATTAACCTCGTGACCAGCATTAAATGGCAAGAAGTAATGACGTCACTGTAATCACATCTATCACAAAATCACACACATCACAAACGTAACGTCTTTTGACACTCAAGTATAAAAACGTTGCAACATTAATTGTAAAACTGTTTGGATACATATGAAACAAAAGAAGTGCAAAGAGTTTGTAGATAACCTGGGTGAATTATTGCGGTGTGAATGAAATGTATTTCCCGAGTATATTCCATGTGAAGCAGCTATTGCATCTTTATCCGTGCCTCTCTTAACATTGTAGGTATCAGCTAAAATAAACAAAAAATAAATATATATTATACATATCTGAATTTCCGCAGTCCAGTTCTACAAAGTTGACGCATCTTCCAATCCATCAACTCTACCCCATTCAACTACCTAGTTTCGCTATTTTCATATTATGCCAACTTTCTCCATATCTGCAACCATTTCGCATAAACTCCTTAAACGGGAATATTACGTCATCAAAACAATTTTTCTTTCAACACGACTTTTTTTTTGGGGGGGGGGGGACAATCGTTGGCTTCCGCACGCCCAGTCCAGCCCCCTACCCTCTCTCTCCCCATTTCTGGTAGATATCCATCCGCCCAATTCGGTACCCACCAAGGAGGGTGGGGTTATGGCCTAGTGGTCTAGGGTGTAGCGCATCGAGTTCTACCTGACCGGTCACATCTTCCGCAAGTCGCGGCACTTCGAGTCCGAGTCAAGTCCCAAGTCGCTGACTTTAGTACCGAGTTGCAAGTCCCAAGTCTTTACAAATGAGTCAGCAATTCACGGCGAACAAGGTAAGTTAGAGTTATGACACCTCGCCGCGACTCGAGTCCTAAGCTCTTTCAAGTCGGGTCTCGAGTCGCAATAAATATTTGAAATCGAGTCGCAAGTCGGGTCATTGATGCGACTTAAGTAGGACTCGAGTTCCCGCCTCCAACCTTGCGGTTATGCTTTCGATCCCTGGTGTGAGCGTATGTGCCCCCCCCCCCCCGCCCACACGGGAAAGACCCCTGCGCGTGCTCTAAGCGTAAGACAACTGCGGTATCACCATTGGTTGAAACGGCCGTTAAAAACTTTTAGAAGAAGGTAAACACTTAAGTATTTCTCCATTGTTATAAATGCTCCCGCGACAATTATACCACCCAACACAAAGACAGTTACTACCTGAATAATTATTACTCAGAAATTTTATCCAAAGAACATTTGTCCCCAACGCGTACATGTGTACTTAATTAGAAATGGCGATGCTAAAAGGAACTAATTCACCCACGTCTGGTGCAATTAAATCTCAGGCTTTTCTTATAAATAACCACTAATTCTATATAAATCCCTTTATAAGGTAGATTATCCTTAGATTACTCGGTGGCATTGCCTGCTTTCCATCAAGAACAACTCTGGTTATACAGTGACTATTACAGTAAATCAATTTACAAACGTCCATATACGGTGTTTTCCCTTTATTGCCCGTCTATCAAATTACCTATGTTTGCTGATTAGTACAAGATCAGTATTGTAGCTTATGAAACCAGTATAAAACTAAACACAGTCGCGTAACTCTAGGAATTGAGTTATTAGGGAATCATGACCACCGACAATGGAACATACTACATGTATAGTTTAATTCACTCCATCAGCTTTATAGGTTTACTGGTTTTAATATATCTTGTTTTAACTTTTTGTCAATCTATAACGATATATCGAAAAAAGCACTTAAGATTTGTCACAATAATGATTGATCACTATTTTTAGAATTTGAGTTATTACCGTCGGATGGCACTGAACAAAGAAGACTTAAAAATCTATATTAATTGTGTCCTGATTAATGTTAACCCGATTGTTTATGTAAATATATTCAGGTTGAATAACTAAGCCAAAAACTAGAACAATACAATTAATGTCTTGTTCTCCATTTCAATTGGCACCGGAATAAGAACCGATCCGAAGCGTATTTGATCATGCATCAATGTCGTTTTAGGCATCTTTGTCATTTATTTGGTCACCCCTATAGCCACAGATCACCAATGATTTCCCAATTGACTTTAATGTTAATTCCCGTCTCTTAGATCGGCATTAACTTTTCCCGAAATTTTCGTTGGGTTGAACTCTTTCTACCATAGATGGATGAACATTTGACAACCTCTTGCTCAAAAGCAGGTATGAGGTTCATCATGGAAAACTTGGGAAACACAAACTGGAAGTAGCATACAAGTAAACATACAACTTTGGGTCTTTTTTGGTATCTTGCTATACATGTTTCATGCCTTGTCCATTTTCTAATTTGAAATAATAAACTATTACAATTTTGTTCCGTCGAGTCGAGTCCGAATTTGCAAGGATCTCCCTTTTGATGCCAAACGAAGGTATTGCTGGTAAGAAGGACACTGTAATATCCCATCCATGTGCCAACAGGAAATATATGAAATACAAAATAAGATTTTAAACTTACAATTTAAGATATCAACTATCTTTCTGGTGATCTGTAAATCAGAAGTTCTACAGATATAAACTCCAGCATTATGTAAATGAGCTTTTTCAATCTCTAAAACACTGGATATAGTCTTATATTCTAATGAAACCTGCTTTCTTATGTATATTTGTTTAGAATGATCCGTGCTGAGTTTATCACCATCTTTGAACCAGTCTAAATCATCTGGAGGATGTTCATCCCCCGTAGCATTACACACCAACAGGATTTTACTACCTTTCTCTACATAACTTGGACCACTGATTTTAATATCTGCAATTTGAAACAAATATTCAGTTTATAAACTCCTTGAAAACTAAAATACATAGTAGTAATTATCACATATTTTTTTTACTTCCATGCAATACAGTATTACCTGTTTTGAACCAAGAACACGTCCCCATGCGTTACTCATCGTGTTCTTAATGTTCTTGAGGGCGACGTTCTATGAGAAGGGCCTAAGGTTCCTCCCATTCATGCATGATCGACATGAAAATTCGTATGCTTGTTCCTAGACAACTGCGCATCGATCTTTGACATGACGTCAAAATTCCAAGATGGCTGCGTTGATGTCATAATCCGGGTCCATAGCACGATGTACTTGTTATTAAAGGGAGTCAGTCCATTATCTTAAATTGGATGAAATTGCCGTAGAACTTAAAATATTCAAGGTTTTTTTTTGTTTTTTTTTTTGCCGAATTATCTCAGACAAGTTTTGCCAACAATTCTAAATGGCACATTTAAAAGTGCACCGAAACACATTCGACATAAATATCGGTGGATACAAAATAGTTTATTTGAAAGTATTATAATATGACCCCATGTTTATCTACATGTTTTGGATACAATGATGGGCTATTATTTTGTGATGTAAATATAATTTAGAATAAATGCATAATAGTATAAAAAAAATTAGCTGAAATTATTATTTTTGATTATGTCGTTCATTTCATTTGAAAACTCTTGTGCTTTTAGTCAAAAAGTGAGACAATAATTAACTTTTTATGCTATCAATAGAATGAATAATGCCTGTTAAAAAACATCATTTTAAAATGTTTGTCGTCTTTATTAAATCCCAATACAATATTTTGAGTATAATTTATTTCCATCCACTTTGTAGACATATCAATTTTGTTAGTTGCTAACTTAATTAGAAAACATATTTCAAGTTCGTTTGGTACTTGCGTTTGGAATTAAATCGATTTAATATTGTAATTGGGTTGGGTTAATACATATCTTGTCAAGAAACGCCCTATATTTAGACCCTATATTTAGTTCCCTTCTTTGTCGCGATTCATTATTGAAGCAATTAGTTCAAAGAAGACGTTTCAGATGCACGTTTTTTTATATGGTGTTCATCTTGTCGACGGAGTTGAGTTTTAACCTGTTAACTGGTAGATTTTTTAAAAAATCCCTGTTTCGTTTTTGAAGGGTCTCGTTCCTTTAACGGCATATTTCAAGTCTTAAGGTCATGTTGTAACTCGTCTGATAATGATGGTATTCGTATATCTAGTATATCTACTTGCAGTGTAGAACAACGAAACGTAATATATTTTATTTGGCATTTGTGTAGAACAAGTAATTGGTTTTGATTTAATTGTGTAAGACAATTCACACAAAGATACAATTATTCTGTACATACGGATTTGAGCATACACCATATTCCTGAATAGCAATTTGTCATGAAGTTTCTGTTGGAAGATCGAAATGAAGCTACGATTCAAGATGCTGATAGTATTAGCGCCTCGTCGGACTAATGGACGTCGGAGCAAGCAATTAGGCATAAATGAAATGACATGAAATGGGGTGTAACGTCTTACTGTTCTGCTTCGATTGGGATAATAAAGACGGGCATACACCGGACAGCGGCGCTACGGCCTACTATTGTATCGAATTCCAACTACCATGGGATCTTTTAAGTGCACGCCAATGTGTACACCGGACCTCGGGTTTTCGTCCCATCCGAACGACTAGACAGCTGTCCTTGTCAGACTCTCGTCCTGCACAACTGAAATCCCGATCAACTTTCTCGGCCAACACCGGGAGCGAGCCCGCAACCGCCAGAATAGCGAGCCAGCGTCTTACCCACCAGGCTAATTACCGTCAGACCTCTATAAGCACCTATACCATGGAGCTGGTGTTTAGCATCTCTCGCGGATTGCAGTTTGACATTTTTGGTCTTTGTATTTGTCATGACCAGCTTTCACATGTTGTTAAATGTTACAAGTACAGAGACTTATCTATTAATTAGGCTTTGCTGAAAGAAAGTATTCTCTAGCTAATAGCTGTATGATAGGTAAAGCTCACATGTAGGAGTACAGTATATCTTAATGATGCGTGCAAAACATCTATACAACATATAAACACAACAAATTAACATCTAAACTAACGAGGCATACAATCTACGTTCATCTTTCAATAAGACATCACAAGCATTTGTTTAAAAGGTTATTTCGTGAGCTTTTTTTCATCAGTATAGTTCTAGAAATTAAATGGGGTCTCGCTTTTCTACAGAATGCTGGGTCACCTTTTCTGTACTGATCTAATTAAAAACCACAATACAGTCTCGTAGCGTTTATATTTTCGACCGATTATGCCCATATATAACGTTAGGGCACATGCTACAAGGTGTATCTGAGACAGATATGAAACGAAATGGGGTTTGACGTCCTACACCAACCGGGCCAATACAGGTTGATCTGACAGGTTACCCTTTTGTTGCTGTTTGCAACTTTCCTTAGGGAGAGAATATTAATAAATCGGTTTAGAAGTACCCCTGTTGACCAAACTGCCCATATTTATAATTTTGTGTTATAAGTAATGTACTTTGCGCTATTACCAACTAACTCAACAAACTGAATATTATGGTAAACAAGAAATAAATTAAAATAGTCGATCCGTTGTACTCGAAATAATATGGGTTACCCGTAAATCAAGGGGTAATAAATTATAATGCATAACTTGCAGAATGCGCATGCCTACTTAAAGGCTTACCCGTAAATCAAGGGGTAATAAATTATGATGCATAACATGCAGCATGCGCATGGCTACTTAAAGGAGTTAATCCTCTTTATTTAGGTAAAAATAAAGTATTAAATTGGCTTGATTTGATGTGTTATAAGATTATTAATATTTTGTTTCGATAGATTAATCTGACTTAAAGTCATTTACAGTCAGGGAACTAGTTTAATTTTTTGTCTTAATGTGTGGACAGAGGAACACAAAATATTGGCTTTATCAATAGACAGATTGCAACTAAATGAAATGGGGTTTAACTTCCCACTGTTCTGCACCAACTGGGCTGACGACGGGCATACGCCATGTTGTGTGCTCTGCGGCTACGGCCTACTATTATCTCGAATTATAACTGTCATGGTTTCTTTTACGTGCAGGTCTACTCTCTGAGCTACCTTAGACAAATCAACATGTAAATCTCAATAAAGTCGACAATATCAAACAGGTCTAGTCCAATTAATCTTAAGATTATTTCAATTATTTCGTTTGAGACAAAATCAATTTTGTCATCGAAAAATGGAATCCTTGAAAAAGTCAATTAGAATGTTTCATATCTGATGAAACTTTGCTTTGTATTATCGTATCTCAAGCCGTGTATTATTTATTATATTATTTACATGTTAAGTGTATGTTCTACAGCACGTACATTTATTTGTGTATTTAATATATTTGTTAACACGAGTTAAAACATTTAATTCACAGTTTACAACTAAAGATGTGCTAACTGATATTTTCCCTTATAATTCACGGATAAATGAACGAGAATGCAATAATTTGAAACTCATGATGTTACAGCTGTTTAAAACAATCTGACTTAAAGTTATTTCCAGCCAGAAACTAACATTAACCAAATATAACAAAAATAACAAAAAACGTTACACTGAAAGAAATATTGAAGAAAGGTTAAACTAAAATATGTTACACTTGCTTATATATCGTAATCTCTTCAGACAAGTTTTACCTCTTTTTTATTGGAATACAAATTATTAAGTCGGTTCTAGAGCGATGAACTTTTAATATATTCAGTATACCAGTAACCGCACAAAGCTGGATACGGAGCATGGGGTTCCCACACGTCCATGTTAGAAGCGGGTATATCAATTGAATATGTATGTTCACACTATATATCTACACATGCATGGGAGATGAATAACTCAACAACTTTGAATGGGACGAAAACTAAACAGCTTTATTTGGGATGAAAACTCAACAGCTTTGAATGGGATGAAAACAGCTTTGATTGGGATGAAAACTCAACAGCTTTATTTGGGATGAAAACTCAACAGCTTTGATAGGGATGAAAACAGCTTTGATTGGGATGAAAATTCAAAGTTTAGATTTGATTAGATCTTTTTAGATTAAATATTAAGTAATTCATTTCACATCCTACAGTCAGATAACTTTCCAAGAATTGGTCGAATTAGATGTAAATTACTATACATGTGTAATGAGTACGACGTGTGTGGATTCTTAAAAAATCTGTCTCGGGTTTTTAATGCAATCTAATTTTTAAAAAATCTTGAAAGTAGTAAATGGGCAGACTTTAGTTAATTCTACGAGACTGAAAACATGTAATCAGTTATGTAAAATATACCGTTTCACAAGTCGCCATTACACATAAGATGTAATCAATTCAACACTTTTTAAATAAAAACAAAAATATAAAAAAAAAACAGAAAAACAAAAACAAAGATAAACCAGGATACACATAAATCAGTTTCGGGATTGCTTATTACTGGTTGTATACGCTAGGGAATTCTGAAGCATATCAAAAGAAGCAACAAATCATAATTTACCGAATTGCAATGACACTTTCAGCTGTGTAGCTGGAGTTTTCCTTATGGGGCTTACTTAATTTCACGTTTTAGAAGGTTGTGTGTTATTGTTCCTCCCCGGGATCTGCGCCATCCTAAAGACAAATTCATTGCCTAGCCCAGAAGGAACCACCCCGACAAGTGAGGGATGATAGTGCTGAATAACTACAGAACTAAACAAGTTATTAACTGTGCATTATCAATGTCTCCAATCATCTTGACATAGAGTAAATATAGACAATTTATGTCGATGTTTATCCATGATAATAAATAGAAAAATATAAATTCAACTGACAGTTACAAGTTGATAATATTAAATCTTAGCTAAATCAATACTTTCTAACTGAAAATCACGTATTTGAAATCATTAAAACGTAAATTTCGGATGTTTGTTTTCATATCAACTTCATGGATCATGCTTTATCTGCCGGCGATTTGCAAACATATCGTAGTTTTGGCGTTGAGAGAGGAAATCTATTGACAATGCAAACTGGTTGGTTAAGGATACGCAGACATGTTATAAGGGTCACATATTGAGCACAATATTATGCTGTTGTCTAACACCAATCATGCTAAAACCATGCAGACAAATTACCATAAGATGATGTGTTAGTTTTGATACCCGAGACTCTCCGAATGTCTGAAAACAAATTCCAAAAACAAGCTAATAAAAGATTGCGAAATTGTGAGCGGTGTTATTATCTTTGTCGAAATAATAGAGGTAACGTCAGTCATCGAAATGCAGAATTGGCATTAAAGAAGCCAAAGGACACTTGTCATAACTTATCATTGATTGATCTCACGCTCTCTAAGAATATGCGGATGTTACCAGTAAAAGGTTGCATAATGTCATTTTTTACTTACCAATGATCAACATGCTTCAATGTTAGTTCTGAACCTATACCCACGTTATAGTTTTAAGAATTAAGAAAACATTTATTCTCCAAAACTTACAATGTAACATCCACTAGAATATCATTAGCATGCCACTTTTAATTACGATTTAAATAATACAATTTTAGAAAAAGCTACACGAATTCAAATTACATTACACATTATCAGGAACAATGCATAAAAAGTCCTACACGCGACTTCAAACAAACTAAATTAAATAGCCACATTGGTTTAAATACTGTAAGACATATTATTGGATATTTACGAAGTAAATTTACTAATTTAATACACAATGAACTATCTTACTAGTTTATTGTAAAATACAGCGCCCTTCATAATACGTTCCAGAAACAGCTCTGTCAAAGCAAATCTAAATTTTGATTTCCTAATTTCATGCAAGTGTGGCAAGATTTATGCATATTTCTCAAACTATAACTAGAAGGAATAAACACCAATTAGATTAATCAAGTAATCGCATGGTCTCCTAGTTGACCAAAAAATGAGCTTTAACAGGCTTACGGTTCTTGGAACGTAATGCAGATGACTTGTATGTGCTGATTAGTTGATTTTTTCCACAATTTATCTTTTACGTTGTGTTTAAGGACCATGCTGTTCAGATTAGGTACTATATATCCAGATGCATGGGTTGTAATATATAATTTAAAGGAATATAATAAAGACTACTAGATCAATTTGTTCAAATTGAGTTACCTGGCTCGGGCAGTATTGTAGGTTTTCTCCAACTTGGCTTGTATTCGCCTGAAATAAAAAGTCATCGGAGATCTAAAGTTAATGTTGTCGCCTATTAATTTTTTTTATTATTTGGGGGGGGGGGGGCTTTCAATCTTGATTTTACGTCCGTTTTGATGATGTAGTAACTGGAGGTTTGGTACGCAGGATAAACCCTATAAATCACCATTTACAGTCAAGTTTTCTTTCAAACCTATCTCACGCGTCTGGGGAAAAATAAGCTCTCGGTTTGCTCCACTACCAACGCTAGAGTGTAGACAAAACTTCTTACCTATTATATTTAAATATACAAAACGCCGCAAATTTCTCTGTGTCGAACTGACTTGACATTCATATTTGCCTCCATCATCTAACTGGACTTTTTTGATCAACAGATTCCATTCTTTTTGTAACGGCGTGTGTTCGATTAGAATTCGTGAATTACCCACAAATGTTTTCGTTCCAATAGTTAAGGGGTTAAAATCTGAAGCTCGTCTCCATATTACCTGGAATAAGAAAGCAGTTCATTTAGTATATAGTACATTAATGTAAATTTCAAATACCTTAGGAGCATTCTTGGCTTTCGCCAGTAAAAGTTGTTTCACTCGTGTCCTGCTTTAGCTTTTGTTGGAAGTCTTATCTCTGATCTAAGAAATATATTTTGATTAAAACGTTATGTTTTATTATTATTACAGTACACATACTATTGCCCCCCCCACCCCATTTAAAATACATTTGTCGAGTCAAGTTCCCTTTGGAATTTTTGACATATGAATATGGGCAATAAGTTAGGATTCGAAATCCGAACACTTCTCTGGAATCCACATAAAACTCAGAATAAACTATATTAGGGCCCACTTAGCCCATAGCAATTAGATGTAAATAACATTACAATTCAGGGCTGGTCTGGATGCACCAAGTGCAGATGTTTGTAAATTTACCCATTGCAGTAGATAAAAGCCGATTGTAAATAAATATAAGCACAGCATTACAGTTGATAAATAGTGGTTTGACTTCACGGACCGGTTGTAAACAACATGACAGTTGACACAAACCTGTTTGAAATACTCGCAGACTTCCAAACACCTATATTCAACCTAATATGGTGAGGAAACTAATTGGCAAACGGTGGCACTACAACCATTACTCACACCAAGCATTCCACCCCAGTTGAGCGATACTATGATATCATAAGTATGCGTAGGTTGAATTTTAATATTTAAAATAATTGATATTACTAGCTAAGCTGTCAATTGTCCAAATATTAAAAGGTTAATTAACGCAGAGTCATCAATTTCTACACAGACGGAAATGACAAACTTGCGACAATACACGAACTAACTTAATCAACCAGACACAATTATGAACTGGACACGGCATTATGTATTTAATATGACTCTTGCCATCTATATTCAGCTCGACATATTTCCCCAGGGGATGAAATCTTTCAACTGCCCCCAATCTTTGGGGCAATTACTGTCCTTTGATATTCTCGTGTTCTTGATTTGGAGAACTAATGACTAGTGCTGGGTCTATTGGGTTCACCATTTGTTTTAAAATGTAATCGGACTAATGACATAAAGAATCTAATAGATAGTTTGAACATGTTAATGACAAACCAAGTGGAATTTTAATTAAAGACGGTATATGTTTACAAATTCTACACATTTGCTAGTGACCTGGTGCCCTCAACAAGTATGTTGTGGTCAGTTATCTCTACAGCATATGGGTTCAAAACTAGACCTGTACGCGATCAAAGGTAGATGACTTGGGCATAGTCGAGCGGATGTCAACCCCCTTTCCGATCTTTAAATTGTAATTAAAATGAGATAAAACAAGTGAAGGAATTGCGTTGAAAATGTTTGCTATTCGGTAACCATTTAGCAGCCATCATCGTATTCCACAATTAGCATACATAACTTCTTTATATTGTTATAATCTTAAATAAATTGGTGTAGTTTATGTTTCATCACTTATAAAAAGAGATTCAGACATTGTTTCCAATTCTGTACACATTTTGATGTCACTGAGCGCTTTTTGGTGTGTCACCTGAACAGTGCGATTAAAATGATCCGATATTTAGATATTATAGTCAGGATGATTAAGTTAAACATCTATTCATATTACCCACCATTGATCCTCTACTATCCTCAGCTACTCAATGATGGTTAAGCTTTGTTTACTTTCTAATTCTAGTGATAATTGAAGAGTGAATAATATTCAAAACACGCACTGTCAGCCCTCGCTCTTACATCACTAATAGATCAGTCTAGACAATATGGCTAATTCAAACTTTACTTGCTACTTCTGCTTGATCGCAAACTTAATAGAATGTCACCAAACGCTGAATGGAAATCAATTAAACGATGACGAGATGATCGTCCACACCAGACATTCTCGATCACTCCAGACCAATTTTAATTTGTGTTTCGATCTTCTAGGCTTACCAGGAGAGCCTCTTCACTTCATCCAGACACCATAGAAGATGGTGCAAATTATGTAAACGTTTAACAGGCTTACAATGGATTCTTTTATTTAAGATGACGGTTGAATGGGGCTGAGTAACCGTACTTCCTGGGCTTGCTAAATTCACGCATTAATCTTTACAGTAATCACGCTTATCAACTCGATATATCTAGATGTGGAGTCTTATGTCTTAGTCACAGACTAGACATAAGTATTAATATACATTCTCACAATACTACTTATACATTTAGAATTTTTATAACTGTCAATAAGCTTCTTATCTCGAACAATGAAATGATATTAAGGGAGAATAAATGTATCGATATCAGAGTCCATGTACCGCTTAATTTAACGTCAAGAGGCGAGATGTTAAATATGGCTGGTTTCCATACAACACAAATTAATACTACAACGTGTCACAGTGGCCAATGTCCCAGTGACCAGTTATTATAATCAGTGGTTCAGAATATCTGAGGTTCAAGATAATCATTCCTTGAGAAGGGAGCGATTCTATTGATAACAGTTTAACATGTTACTTGGCAGGGTAGTGTGTCCCAATGACAAATTATCCGGCTGATAACAGTTTAACCCTTGTGCGTATACAGGGTTTATTTCGGGACCCCCTTGTGGACCCCCTTCAGTCTCATTTAAACCTTATGCTGGTGACTCGTGTCAAATCTGTTCTGGGCTCAGTGCAAGCATTGTATTTGGAATCTTTTTACTGATGATATTGTGTTGATCATTTTGGTAATCTGGATCCGAAACTAAATCTATGTACTCGGCCAACGCCTTCAAAAGACGATTTTACATGGAAATGACAATTAAATTATTTGCAGATTTTGATGGTTTTCAAAAAATACCTTTTAATTCATATCTTCACTGTTATTACCTCTATTATATTTTTTTCACTTTGATTGATTATTATTCAGTCTTTATATGAAGCTCCAGTTTGATAGTATTTGAATAAAATTATGCATCTAAAAGTCTATTTATGTCTGGGGTCTTACCGCTTGTTGCTGACAAGTTTTTTCGTGCGACGTGTTTGCACAGTGGTTAAAATGGTGTGCGACTCGTACAATCAGGGGGCATAATCCAGGAAGTTATGGAGGCAGACCACCATTAAATTTCATCATCTCGGTACCCGAATTGTAGTTCGTCTATTTATAGCAATTCTCTCTCTCTTTTCTCCCCTTTTGCATGCCCATTTTTGTTGATTTTTTGGTCTAGAATGGGCGAAGAGGGTTTGAATTAACATTTTCTGCCAGGTTTTGGTAAATATTCATGATTTTGAGGCGGAAGGATAAGAGGGTTATCAGGTTAGCTACGGCGATATGTACGGCAACTAGTTACATGTTTTTAGTATGCTTCTTCAAGTTTGTGTATCTCAAAATTTTGGTGGTCAACCTCATACAAATTTTAGTGCAAAGACATGACCATTTGTTCCTCTGTCTGTAGTGAAAAGCATTCAGCCCAACGAAAATTTGGGGAAAAGTTGGAGGTGGGCAAAGAGGCCAGAATTAACATTGAAGTCAATGGGGAAATTAATGGTGGTCTGCCTCCTTATGGTCTGGAATTTTCATTGTTTACTTTAATATCCAACTCACCAGAACCAGTGACGTCTACACAATCCCAATATAGTGAACGCGTTAATACAAAAAACTCCAATAAAATGGCATTATATACTGGAACATGTCAGTAAAGTCTTGGAATTGTTATCATGAATAATTTAATGTACTAATGTCGCCATTAATGACTGGTAATAAAATAAATATCATGGTCAGGAAATATCGGTAAATGCGAACGTAAGCTTTTAGTTTTATTACAGAGAGACTAGCGGACAAGATAACCAGTCTCCAATTAACACACGTTTCGTCGGATACCTTTCTCGCTTTCAATTTTATACCCAACCGATAACAGACGGGAATAACGCAATCTCTCTATCACTAAAACCAGTCTAACGTTGGTCTGCAGATATAATGTAATGTTGCGACCTCTTGGTCTTTCCCTTATCGATGATTTTATTTCCTAATAAAATCTGAAGCCACGTTTTCAGTTCAAGAAAAAGGATATTTAAGTTTGATAAAGCCGAAATCGCAGACTTAACTACTGCCGAGAATTGTTATTTATGTACTATTCAGCTTGAAGCTAATGTCAGACAAGAATTTAAAGATTTTCGCATTACTGATTCTAAAATATATTTATCTAAATGATGATTGACCGGACAGATTAACTACATATTTGGGGATCGAAATGAAATACCGATTTCCATTTAATTTGGAAATGCACATAACTAACAATTTTGTCTAATTTTGAATACATTTAATGTTTTTACAACTATATGCCAATACCAGCGGTGTTTATTTCCGATGTAAAAAAGAATTGACTATTAAGAAATTGAATAGGCAATCACTAATGAAATCTTTTAAATAACACTTAATGTGCAGAAAAGCAGAGCATTGGTGAATAGTTTGCTGGTTTACAGTGATAAACGGTGAACCGACAACCAATGTGTGCATGAATTCACAGGCAATATGAAAGAACTATAGCATTGCGATGTTTGTTAAATGCGTAAACACATATCCTTGTATTATCCCACAAACCCTACGGTGCATTCAGAATAAGTTCTATATTGACACATGTTATATGCAAGTACGAATTGAATCCATAGTAGCCTATGGCAGATAAATATGTACTGATTTACCTTGAGTATGCTCCTAATAAATGTAAATTGCTACAAAAGCAAGATTTTGGGCGGAGATGCCATTTGAATGCGGGTATGATATGACATCCGCAATTAATAATTATAGCTAACGATCTGTACTATAATAGGTCCTAATTTATACATACATTGATAGGCGCCTTTCCAACAAGCTGATATATGTTCATCTAATTTTCCTTTGCAGACTCATCAGTCACCGAACACAAATGGAACTAAAGCCTTTCTTGTTTCTCTAATTAAGTGTTAAAACCGTTAATAAGTTTGTATCATTTGACAAGGGCGTCTGCGTTTTGTAAAGGATGGAAACATAAATTCTTAGCGGGGGTTGAAAACAGTTATAATCAATCCGTCCACAACAGTTTTATCGTCTGAGATGTAAATTCACAACTCAAACAACTCTTTAAATCATCCAGACCGCCTTGTCGCTGGTTATGGCGAAAATGACGATAAAGCGGAATCTACGACTTTGAGCAGCGTTAATTTACATAACATGTTTACCGCACCGAATAACGATAATTTTTAAACCTAACTTTATTACGCTGTATTTATAGATAACAAGAATTATTGAAGATTTGACCTAACCTACGTCATTTGTGAAATATTACGGCATTAACGTTTATCGTTTATACTACAGTACAAGGAGGTCAGAATTTAATGAGTTAATAATCACCATAAATTGCATAACACATGAATTTAGTGATTTCAAAAGCACCATAAATTGCATAACACATGAATTGATCCTAATCTTATGTTAGCGTTTTTTAAGCATCTAGCTCTAGATGCAATTCATTTATAGCTTATTACAATGCTACTAATGCTGATGTGGGTCTATTGCAAATGCATATCCTACGATATAGGCTACATATTATTATGCAAACTTTATTGAGGGTGGGGGCGTATAACGCGAGTGCATGAATGGTCTCTCTCTCTCTCTCTCTCTCTCTCTCTGAACAGCGTATTTACTCTCTTTTTGTGATACGCCCCGTGACTAATTATCTATCGATCCAATTACTAACATGCTCGATCTCAAGATACAATTATACTTTATATTAATCATTTTTGTATAATAACAATAACTAAGTCCGTTATTTCTGATTAAATTCCAATGGTTTCATCATCTCTCATTCGGGTTATATTAATCACGTGAGAAAAAGAATAAAAGATCGCATATGGTTGGATAACTCTATTTCTTTTTCTATGGTGTGCACGTGTGAGATTTCACCGATTATTATAAAAAAACAGGCGACATGTTGCTTTATTAATTATGCTGTCTTGTATGAGTGGAGATCGAGTGGCTTTCTTTAATTAACCGCCATTTTTGGTTTTGACTTTTTTTCTAGCTTGTCATTTTTCACTCTAAATATCACAGCTGTCATGATGTAGAATCGATTAAACTTACATGTGTTCATTCGTCGGACCGAACATACGTGGAATGCATACAATTGTGTTCTTTTTGCCTGCCTTTGAAACAATATCATTGATCAGCGGAAGTCATTGAACGTTGCAGGAATTTTTAAAAAGTTGAACAAAAAATTACAATGCATAAAAGTAAACTTATAATGATATATTCAAAAGAATCGTTAATTAGCTAAAATAAAATGACAACAAAGGAGCGTTCCGTAATAAATATTGCAATCCAAATGAGACTTTTTAACTGTGAAGTTTGTTTTCATGTTAAAGGCTCAATACCACTCTTGTTGTAACTGAATAATATGTCCCAATCTTTATTCTGGTCAACAAATTGTACTATTTTACAATATTCCAATTAACTGATGATACAAATTTCACAGCTAATTTAAAAAATTGGAAAAATTCAACTAAATGATTTGAAAAGCCTGACGTAAAGCTTTTCAAATGTGACTTGGATTTAAAAATATTTTTGAATCATTTGGACAAGTAAAATAGGATTTAATGGATAATTTACCCAACAGGTAGGACACTAACACATCTAGTACTTAGAATAAGGCTGTTTTTTTTATTTTCTGGAGCTGTCAAGCCAGCAAGAGTGTTATTGTCCCTTTAAGTTTATGTAAATGAATAATTACTTACCTTTTTAGTACCTAGATTGTTAACCGAACAATCTAATTTGGCCAGTTTTCCCGCTTTAAATGTTACATTGGTAGGTGTATCGACAAATGTGGGTTGTGTTTTCAGTGATTTAATATCAAAATCGTGGTAATCCTCACCTAAAAATATATAAACAAATATATTTTAAACTTTCAAAATATCATTTGCAAACTTGCATGTATGATTCGGGGAGGTTTGATTATTTTTGAGATATCTGAGCAGAGGCTGGAAAGTGAGGTTAAGAATTTTGGTCTTATAGAGCTACTGTATATATCTATTCATTGTACTAGTAGTTTAAAATTGAAATGAACTGAAGTCCTTACAGTGACTTGATGACCTGGCGCCTGGTACGTTCGGGCATTTTTATGCGCGAACTCTTAGTTTTTTTTACTGGCATGCGCACAGGTACTATTTCTTTTTCTTTTAACAAGTACCCAAATCGGGGATTTCGTGCGGAGGTAGTTCGGAGGTAAACAGTCTGTGAAGTACAACACTTGCCACTGTACCTGTGTATCGCTAATTATAAACCAAATGTGTGAAGACAGTTCATACATATCATTCAAAAATTTTTCAGTACAAACTCAGTTGATTCACGCTCGATTTGCTACTAAACAAACCCATCGGTTTATTTCTCAACAGTGTGACCCGAAGTGACCGCGGATTTATTGACCTTGTATGAACTTATCCATAGCTATATCCTTACACCGAGAGAAATTATCTAGTCTCGGTGAAAAGAACCATGGTCATCTGGTAGAAAATTACTTTTGTATTATTTGGAATGGAAAACAGTGTTTTTAGAAGCAAACTAACCTGCCGCACATGAGGAAGTCATTATACTAATAATAAAAGGCGAGACCTCTTTTTGCGGCGCAGGCTTATCACTGAGTAGTAAACCGTCCACAAACAATAATATAGGAAGCCTAGTGACGAGTGTAGTAAAGTAGGCTATAGACTATAGGTTTGAGTCGAGATTACTCGCTTTCAGTTTACTCTGTTTTTGCGATAACCAATTATGTGAGAAATACCATACTGACATTCGGTTTTTAAAAGTTGTACGCGAACTAAATGCGTTTGTTAGATACTGACAGAGCAGCCCCGAGTCGAACAATCGCAGCCCGAGCTGTCTTCGTCAGCTAGTTTCACAATATCGTGCAATAGGTGTATTAATGTGATTTTTAGGTTTAACCCCGCAAACAATGCCAAAATAGTGTTTTCACTGCTTACAGAAAACTGAAATTTAAAAAAAAAAATTTTTATGAGGGTGACCCTCCCACACACTCCCTATCGAGCTGCCGCTCGGTCTGCGCAGCCTCGTGCCTGGCACATACTGTCAACATTGTATATTTTTCCGTTTCCGCCCTTCCCCCCCACAATATATGTTTCACGGCTACGTTGCGACGGTACCAGCATACCCAGTTGTTGACACCCATTACATCACTCCTGTCTAACAAATCATACAGCTATGGTGTTACGGTGGCGGCATAGTATTTCACCGTAACACCACAGCCACTCTAACCATTCATAATACATCTAACTATCCCTTTACAGCACTTCACTCCCTACACATTTCCCCTCGTCCTACTTTCCCAAACGTCAACAACACATCTCATACATCCAGTTCGCTGATTAACCCTTGTACCACGTCTACTGGATAAAGTGAGTTATTCAGCGAAACAAGGTTTGTATTTAAAAAGGCGCCAGTCTATTCATTGTTACAGACCTCCTCCCCCCCCCCCACCTTTCCAGTACTAGCCGCTTTGGTGTTCTGTTCGTTATGACGGATGGGACGTGTGCGAGGTTGCCAACAAGTAAAGTAATCCTTGGCAGTTGGAATTCAATCAAAAGTAGGCGGAAATGCCGCTGTTCAGCCGAATCCCCCCTCCCCCTCCGCTTCCGCTTGAACACTGCTTGGCATAATCCCATCTCCATCAACCCCGTTGGTGCAGAAAAGTAAGACGTTAAACCCCATTCCGTTTCATTTAAGTAATTACATATTGTAATATATATTATCCATTATTCCTAACGTTAGATTTATGATAATAGTATACATTATTAATAAATGTCACCTCACTATTTCCTATTATATCATCATTTTACATATATAATATGCCACCCTGAACTTTTATAGATGTTAATAACTGTATGCCAAGTCTACACGTGATTGTTCACACTTTATGTGTTAATAATTGCATATAGTGTAACAGTAGCTTGTTCGTTTATAATGTTGAAAAATGTGATAATTATCACACATATTGTTTGATAGTCCTAATTACCTTATATTGGATTAACATTGCCACAAAGTGACGGTTGTTTTCATATTCTTTGGGGAAACCAATGTAAGTGGCAATCACCTACAATGGATGGGGTGTGAAATTTCCCCCTCATGGTAAGAATTTCTACCCCAAGGAATAAACTCAGTTTATACTGAATGAAAACAAAAGCTGAAACGCGAAAATGTGGTAACTTATATTTCTGGGGAGAAATTACACACCTCGGCAAGCTTTGATTTGAATGGTAGACACACCGTGTAATTTGTACCCTTTACGTTGCTTGCATAAAAACCAATGATTTACTAAACTAGGGCTTATCCAAAAACTATTTCTACTATCTCTGCCCCCCTCCCCCAACACACCAATCTACTTCAGCTGAAGAGAGAGAGAGAGAGAGAGAGAGAGGGGTTTAACGTCCACTCGACACAAACTAGGTCATTTCGGGACTAACACATGGTTCACTTTTATTTCAATAATTCGCTTGCGTGTAGGGGTCTTTAGCAGTGGGAGGAAACCGGAGGACCCGTAGAAAACCCACGAGGTTGGACAGGCGACCCTACTCCTTGTCACGTACAACCGGGGAATCGAAACCCCGCCGGTTGACTCAATGACAGACCGTACGATACAGCGCGCACGTGCTAACTATTCGGCCATCCAAACCCCCATTTCAGCTGCAGAGTTAGTTAACACTAACAATTTACTTTTGAAGGATAAGCCAAATGTATAATGCATGTATTTCCTTTAAATATATTGATGAATATTAGCCTTCCTCCATCCATTCTATAACACAAACAAATACAATACATATACATGTAAGCTATAGCTTACTTACATCCAACTGTTAAACAGTTGTTACTGTTACCTGCCACTTAACCAACGAATATTTCTTTATCAATGTTTGTTTTACTTGGCACACAGAATTATAAGAACAAAGGCTGGTAGTAAATATGTCATACCTAGCAATACTTCCTAGACAACACTTAACGCTCTTCAAATACTCAGAACATTTCATTTTCTTCACGTACAGAATAGAATACTTCTTCAAAATGAGTGGAATTTGAAGTATTCCCGAAATCGTTATGTCTGTGAACTCTTAAGATAGTAAATAGAGAACTGTCAATATTGTAAGCTAAAATACCAAAAGAAGCAGTAAAAAAGAGAACTATAACTGTGGGTTATTTTGGCTTGTATTACACGAACCTGTAAGTATACTAAACAAAGAAAAATAATGCACACAGGCCAAACTATTCAATATGAATGTCATGAGTGGCACCAAATGTCCCTGAAAGTGTAAGCTTATCTTATTTCGTGCACGACATCCGTAACAAATATATCTATGAGTTACGGGTTTTAATATAAACTAAATATATGCATGCGTAATACATCACAAGTACAGCAACACGTTTGAAACCCATAGCGAACGTTGGTATGTTCTATTCTAACATTCGATATATGTATTGCATTTCCAAAACACATATCGCTTGTAATCGGCCGAATATTTTTTTTTTTGGACATACATTTTCTACACAACATTAATTACAAAAATACAGTGTGACAATATTTCCTGAAGCAGCAAAACAATGCTGTTATGATAGACATTCAGTTGTTTCCCTCTGGCCATAGAGATAAATGTCGATTTGCTTGATTCTTGTTGTTTGCGTAAAATATATATACCCCATCAACAATTGCCAACAGTCTTCTAACTTTGCGCTTTGAGCATGCATTCGTGGATGGAACCAGCGCGATATTAAAATACAATATCATTATTATTAAATGTGAATAACTTTGAGTTGAGACTATTTAAATATCGACTTTATGCGAATATTGATATTTTGTTTTTACAGGTGCACAATTAAATCTAATGTATTGTTAGGTTTTCCGACATCGTCAATATATATTGTACTATAATTTTCAATCCAAAGCTAGTCAGTAATTTAGAAATCATGGCACGTTAACATAAGTTGATTCGGGTTAAACAAAAAATGTCGATATTATTGGATTTGATATCTTGATATATTTTGCTAGATGACATCTGTCCTTTCTGAAACTTTGTCGTCATGCAGATAAAGTCATGTTTCACGTTCGTCATAGTGAGCCAAAACTTAAAGTAAAATTATTAATAAATAAACCCAAACCAGCTTCGATTTAGTCATTCGAATCGTAAATTTAATCATCATTCCACAAATCGAAAGGGCATCCTATTCAGTTCTCTTTTTTGAGATGAGATATATACTTATGTAAAACACGGAGAAGACATAGTCGCGGGAAACCTTAAAAACTTGATCAGCAACTATTCTATTTATACTGATGTATTAGAATGTCTACAGAAGATGACATCCATGGTATAAAAACATCTAATGTATTACATTTGATTCACTTTTATTGACCGTCTTTAAAAAATGTAGCGTTAACAAAATCACGGGGTTAGCATCTGAAACATTTTTAGAGATGTAATCTGACACAAAAACGACAAATGATTGAAAAGTTCAATAGAAAACCAGAGACGCTTTGCCTGTAAATTATATAATTTTCTTTCTACACTAGCGTCTATCTGCAAAAGGGGCGATGTATTTTCTATCACCGAGTCTGGAAAAACAACAATTCCGTTAGATTATCCTCAAGATGAGTCCATTTCACACTTGGTCGAATATTGTTCGCTCTTATTATAAAAACAAATGTTTATCTAGTAAGCATCAACACGATTTCAAATTCCCCGACCCCGAAATCCAAATTTAGTTAGTAATTACCAGAAATCAATTTTTCGCGTTTAAATCAAAGCCAACATCGGCTAGAGACGCGTGAAGAAGAGCAGTTTTTCATTTCCGTGACTTTAACCGTCGCCGAGTCAA